AACCCTGAGAGGTGCTGTGTGGAAGGATTTGGGAGCCCAGCAACCTGGGATCATCATCCAGAGTCTGCCACTTGCTCTGTGAAGTTATGCAAAGCCTCTCAAATTTTCTGCTGCTATGAAACCAAGCCAGTGGAGCTGTGAATGGGATGAGTAAAAAATTTTGCCTGATAAATGTTGCTTTGTAAAAATCTGTATGTAATGTACAGAATATTAGTCTTTCTGCTTTCACTTTTCCACAATACTTGATATATTTTATTTTTAAAAAAAGACCTAAAGATTAGCCGAGCGTGGTGGTGCACGACTCTAGTTTCAGCTACTTGTGAGACTGGGGTGAGAGGATTGCCTGAGGCCAAGAACTTAAGGCTACAGCGAGCTAGGATCACAGCTGTGAATAGCCACTGAACTTCAGCCTGGGTGACAGTGAGACCCCTGTCTCAAACAAACAAACAAAACTAAAGAAAACCTGGCAATAACTTTAACATTTGTTCATTCTGGGTGATGGATCCACTGATGTTTGTTAGAATATGATCTGTACTAAAATTTAAAATTTTATTTTAAGATTGGGCCAGGGTTGTGGTGCCACCTTGTGGCCATACTGTTATGATCTTGAACTTGAGACTTTTTTTTTTTTCTTTTTTAGTGACTAGAGTCTCGCTCTGTGGCCCAGGCTGGAGGCAGTGATGCTATCATAGCTCACTGTAACCTCAAACTCCTGTGTTCAAGCTACCTTCCTACCTCAGCCTCCCATGTAGGTAGGATTAGAGGTGTGCGCTACCACACCCAGCTAAATTTTTTAAGTTTTTTGTAGAGACAAGGTCTTGCTGTATTGCCCAGGCTGGTCTCAAACTCCTGGCCTCAAGTGATCCTCCTGCCTCAGCCTCTCAAAGCACTAGAGTTATAGGCATGAGTCCTATACCTGGCTGAGACCTTTATAGACGCTTTGTGTGTGTGCTCCTATAACTGTCATTTGGGTCATGAAATAATGAAGTCCTAGACCTCTTAACATTTCAGGATAAAGAGGGCTTTCAAGAATACTCAGCTTTTGCTTGATTACTTCTAGCCATGAGAGCTTCCTCCCCACAGGAGATAGCGGGTGCCACTACGGAACAGCTAAGTTTTAGGGAGTTGTCTGCCCCAGACCTCCATGCCTGTCCGTACATGAGGACTGGGGCAAGCGCCTCATGACAGAGATGGAGAAATCAAGGCCCTAGGGCGGTTGCCAGCCAGCCCAAAGCTACTCTGTGCCAGAAGGCACTGAACAACTGGGTAAACTCCCTGAAGGCAGGGATCTGTCTGTCTGGTTCATGCTGGAGCTCTGGCACATATTAGGCTCTCAATAAATATCTGTTCAATGAAGGAATAAATGAACAAAACGATCAGTGCAACACCCTGCAGCTTGGGCCAATTATTCATTCTCAATCATAATAACAGCTGACATCCATTGAGGTCTTACTAAAGCCAGGCATGTCCCGAACTCTACATGTGCACTGACTCACGTAATGCTCACTGCGACCCTAAGAGTGAGGTAGGTGTGACCATTATTCCCCATTTTGCACATAGGAAAAGTGAGCCTCAGAGATCTTATGTGACTTGCTCAAGACTATAGTTAGGAAGTGGTCCAGCTAAGATATGAACCCAAGCAGACTCAGTCTCCTCAGAGGCTTGGAGCAGAGGAAGGAAACCAGTTGAGAGCTGGCTCCATACAGGCAAACAAAGTGGAAAGAGAGGGGCCTGCGTTGCTATCTGCGCTATCAGTGTTAATCCCTTGTAAAGACTTTAAGTCCCAGGCCGGGCACGATGGCTCACTCCTGTAATCCCAGCACTTTGGGAGGCCGAGGCGGGCAGATCACGAGGTCAAGAGATCGAGACCACCGTGAAACCCCGTCTCTACTAAAAATACAAAAATTAGCTGGGCATGGTGGCGCGCGCTTGTAGTCCCAGCTACTCGTGAGGCTGAGGCAGGAAAATCACTTGAACCCACAAGGTGGAGGTTGCAGTGAACCGAGATCGGGCTACTGCACTCCAGCCTGGCAACACAGCCAGACTCCGTCTCAAAAAAAAAAAAGACTTTTAAGTCCCTCCTCATTGGGGGAGGATGCAGTATGCAATTCCTTCCATCCCCGCAAGGTGGCGCACCAAGGGATGCTTCTCAATTGACATCTCTCAAGCCCGGCTACTCCCTCTCCTCGCTGGGCTCCCACATCCAATCAGCAGCGCTTCTCACGGCCCTGCCTCTCCAACTCCACTGCCTGACATAACTGGCCCCATCCTCTCCCGCCTACACCCTTGCAGTCACCCCTGATGGCCGCAGCATCTCCCTCCTCCAACCTAGCTTAGTCTCCCGAAACCCAGCTTTGCACAGACACCTCTACGGCACCTCAGTACAAAGGGAATGAAGTCTGAACTCTGGCATTCCAGGCTGCAGCACCCAGGCCAACCCACCTTCCTGCTTTATTGCTTTATTTCCAACAGACCCTTACAAGTTTCTTTGTTCTTCCTTCCTTTCCCTTCTTCCTGTTCCCCTTCCCCTTCCTTTCCTCCTTTTTTTTTTTTTTTTTTTTTTTAAGACAGGTTCTCACTTATCACCCAGACTGGAGTGCAGTGACACGAACATGACTCATTGCGGCCTCGACCTCCAGGGATCAAAGAATCCTCCCGCCTCAACCTCCCATGTAGCTGGGATTACAGACGTGTGCCACCACACCTAATTTTTTGATGTTTTATAGAGACAGGGAATCACTTTTTATTGCTCAGGCAATCCTCCTTCCTCAGCCTCCCAAAGTGCTAGGATAATAGGCGTAAGCCACTGTGCCCAACCCTTATTTCTTTATCTATGAATGCATACCCAACTTTGTTCCAGACACAGGATGGAGGCAGGTCCTGCCCAAGACTGTGCTGCCATTAAGTGTCCAGATGTGATGTGAGGTCAGGAGTCAAGGGAACTGTGAGCTTATGTGAGTCACCTGTGCTTCCAGAGCCCGTTTCCCGCTCTGTAAAACAAAGGTGAAATGTCCCACTATGGACTTGCTGAATGACCAAATGAGTGGTGCCGTGCCCAAACTTGGTGTGGGCCATGAGCCGATGCCTGGGTTCCAGTCCTGCTGATGGCGTTTCTTCACTGCATGACCCTGGGAAAATGACTTACTAGCGCCTGCTCTTTATATGCCTCATCTATAAAATGAGGACAACATCCACATCACTGGGCGGTGGTGCGGACTGGGCAAGGACCCAGCACAGGGCCCAGCCTTATATATTAATTTGTAACCAATACTTTTGACCATTTCCCCTTCTCCCAGGGGGCCAGGCAGGCCAGGCCCAGGCAAGGGCTGATCCTGGGCCACTGTGTGGGTGAAAAGACATGGCATGAGGCAAGCCCAGGAGACGAGGGGCCAAAATCCATGAAGCCCCGTTCTGGAGGCCCACCCAAGGTGTATGCGAGGCCAGAAACCAGTACCCAAGGAAAGAGGTGAAAGCTGGGGAGACAGGATCAGGAGCCAGGGGTGCACACAGCAAGCCAGGGAGAGGGCCACAAGGATGCAGAGACAGCGGTGACACCTGGGGGCCAGGCAGGTCTGCTCAGCACCCCACTGCCTGGGCCCAGGCCCTGCTACCTCTGGGCTTCACTGCCGGCACTTCTGGAGAACCTGGGTCGGCAGAGCCAGTGAGGAGAAGAACACAGGCGTTGAAGGAATTTATTCATGAGAAGACTGAGGGTCCGTCAGGGAGATTGTCCAATGGCGACAAGCTCCAGAAGCCCGCGTCGCAACAGCCAGGAGGGCCGGGCCACCCCAGGCAGGAGGCAGTGGGCTGGCAGCCACCCTGGGCACTGAAGAGCAGACGCAGGCAGTGCTGGCCACAGAGGGGCTCTCTTCATGGCCTGCCTGCCCTGGCCTCCCCCCAGGTCCCCACCTATCGGTTAAAGTGCAGCTGGGAGGGAGGAGGCAGGCAGAACTGGGGAGCTAGAGAGAGCCCAAGTGAACCCTGGCTGTCCACGCGAGTCCCATGTCCTCCTCGTCCTGGAGTTCCCCGAGTTAGTGAGCCCATCCCACCTAGGGCCTCTGGAACCTTGGGGCAAGGGAGGTAACCCCTCCCTCCCACACCCATCCATATTTAGAAAGAGCATCCCTGGGAGAGGGCGGCTGGCTCTGGCAGCTTTTTGGGGGGCCTAGAACTTGGGGGACAGTGGGGGGCACTAACATTTCTAACAGGGAGAGGAAGGGGATGCTCATCTTCAGGGGTGGTCTTGGGGGGTCATACCCCTCCCTCTGGCCTTGGAAGACTCTTCCCTTTCCTCCTTCCCCTCCTCCTCTTCCCCCACCAGGCAAGCCAAGGAAGCCCGAGACAGGCCCGGAGAGCCTGGCTCCCAGCTCCTGTGTCATGAGTCAGCAGGGTCCTGCCCAGGCCTGACTCCCAAACCCCTCCGCTGAGGGAGGGTCACTTCAGTGCCACTGGGGCGGCGCTTCCCTGGAGATGGGAAGTGGGGTGAGGGGTCTTGGGGAAACCTGTGGGGCTGAGCCTCCTGTTTCTGCCAGTGGTCTTTCTAGCCCAGCCCGTCCCTCCAGCCTGAGGCTGGCGAGATGCTCACCCTAAGCCCGGAACCTCAGCAGTACCATCTGCACCCCCAGGGACCTTAGCCTGGTTCATGCCATCTTGGATGGCCTCCCCCAGCACTCAGCAGCTCAGCCAACTTCCTCCCCCTCCCACAGGCACATCTCTAGAAGCCAGACAGGAAGAGACCACCCCCCCCCAAAATAAAGAACCCTGAAGACCTCTGCTTCCTCCCCCCACTCTTGAATATATTAAATTGTGCGGCTTGGCTCCAACCCCTCCCCTTCAGATCTCCATGGCAACCGGGCAGCATTCCAAGTCCGAGTCTGTATCCAAGTCCATCCAGTGCCAAAGAGGGGCTTCAACCTCTCCCCTGACTCTTCCCCAGAGAGTGAGACCCAGCATTCCACAGGGGGATGAGAGGGGAGGAAGAGTCGGGGGGCCTCAGTCCTCAGCCCCCTCTTCCTCCGTGTGGGGGGCCCCTGGGGGTTCCTCGGGCTCAGGGGTCTGCCCACCAGGGTGGGGGTGGGGATGGGGGTGAGGGTGGGTGCCGGGCTGGGATCCCGGCCCGTCCTCGCCCTGCACGTAGACGCTCAGCCCTTCGTGACTAGGCTCCTTGCCGCAGGCCTGGCAGCTACAGTGCAGGATCTTCTCCACCAGCTTGTCCACCCTGGGCACCTCCTCGTGGCCCGGGCACTCCAGCGTCACCTGCAGAGGGCAAGAGAGAAGGGGTGGCATGTTTCCAAAGGCCTGGGGCAGGTGAGGAAGCCCCTAGGGTAATACTTCCTCATGGGACCAAGAATCCCAGAGCCCACCTGTGATGCCCAGTTAGCGCCAGGGTCCCATGGGGAGGGGGAAATTGAACCCCTGCACAAGCCACCAGAGCTGTCCCCTCACATCCAGTCCTGCCACCTTCCCACCCATTCCCCACCAGCAGCCACAGGGAAATCCAGTGTGGTCTGCCCCTGCTAAAATCCACCCCCCACCGCCCGGATCCCCCTGCACTTGGAGACAAACCCTGACCCCTCACTAAGGCCACGCAGGACCTTCCGGTGCCGCCGGCTGGCTGGCCTCCCTACCCCGACCCTGCGCCACTCTTACCAATCCTGTGCTTGGGCTCTGCCTCAGGGACTCTGCACATGCTGTTCCCTTTGCCTGGAAGGTTCCCCAAACCCCACCTACCACTTGCCCCAAACTGTGCCTTTGGGTCTGAACTCAGACTTTGCTTCCTCAAAAGAACCCCACCCCAAAGCCCAGCCTGGCTGAGGCTCACCCTGCATGAACCCCATCTACCTCTTACTCTGCCCCTATCGTCACCCATCTAAGTACCTTCTTTCCTTCTCCCTCCCTTCCTCTCTTCCTTCCTCCCTTCCACAGAGCGCCTACCCTGTGCCAGCCCTGGGGACACAAAGACACATTTCCCTCAAGGAAATCAGAGTCTAGTGGGGGGAATAGACCTGTCAAAATCACCCGGATGCAGGTGGAAGACTGCAGGTGTGAAAGGCGCTCGAAGCGGAGGCACACTGTGCTCTGAGAGCCAACGGTACCAGGGTGGGCCCCAGTCAGGCGGCCTGGAAAGGGGCCCTGAGGAAACGCTGCTTGGGCCAAGGGCAGAAGAATGAATAGAAGTGAACTGGAGAACGGGGACAGAGAAGGTGTTCCAAGCAGGGAAAAGAACAGGTGCAAGGGCCCTGGGGTAGGAGCGAACGGAGTAGGTGCGAGGAACTGAAAGCAGGCGGCTGTGTTAAGCATCAAGCTAGTAAGGAGGGCGGGAAGCAGGAGGAGGCTGGAAAGGCCACTGAGCCAGGCCATGCCAGGTTCTCGGGACAGGGCAAAGATTTTGGTCTCATCCTATAACAACAGGAAGTCCCTGAAAGGACTTCAGCCCATGAGAGACATCAGAATGGAACTTTGGGAACATCCCTGTCCTGTACAAGTTGGTGTCAGACTTCTGAGCCATCCTGTGGGGAGGCCCACGTCTGTATCCCCAGCACAAGCCCTTCACCCTGCACACAGTGGGGACTTGCTAAGCCCCTGTGGTTATCTGCTGGAATACAGGAGCCTGGGGAGAAAGGCCAAGGCCGGGACAGGCTCCAGGCTGAGACTGGGTGGGGCAGGCAGCCAGTACTCACAATCTCCCACATCGACTGGGCTGGCATGCAGGAGTCACAGTGAACCAGGGACTCTGTGGACTGCGGGAAGGTGTTGGGGACGCTGTAGCTGAAGCACTGTCCTAGGCACGCCCTGTGGGAGGAGAGGTCACATGCCCGTGTCACTGTCGGGGAGGCAGGGATGGGCAGCCCTGGTCCTCTTCCTCCCTCTTGGGCCCCTGTCCGCATCCCCCCACCCATCCCTTGAGTCCCACCTGTTCTGGATGGACTTGGCCTCACAGCCGCTGTGACCCACAATCTGGGTGATGTTCTTGGCTTCGCACCAGGCACTCTTATCCGGGAACAGTGCCAGCTTGTTGATGGGCGGTGGGGCAGCCAGTAGCATGGCAGGGAGGACAGCCCCCATCAGGACCTGAAGCATCATGCCCGTGGCCTCCAGAGCCCTAGAACAGAGCACAGGTGCCAGGTGAGGCACAGCAAGGTGCAGGGGACCGGGCAGTGGTGTTACAGCATGGACTCTGGCGTCCGACTCCTTGGCGCAATCCCAGCTCTCCCACTTACTAACCAAGTGCAACTTTGGACAAGTTATTTCTCCCCTCTGAATCTCACAATTGGAGCTGGGAGTAGTACTTACATCAGATGGCTATCTGTAAAGTCAGATGAGATATTAAATGGGCCTAGCAGATAATACACATTCCATATGTGTTGGTTTTACAACTTCCTATGTTGCCTTGAGCAAGTTACTTTTTATCTCGGTGCCTCAGTTTCTTCATCTAAAAAGGGGAGATGGTACCACTGCCTGGCGCAGGATTGCAGTTACGAAGTGTTCAAGCACATGTCCAGTGTTGAAAAATTACCACCCCCTTTCTCCCTTTGCTGCTGTGGGCCATCCAGGAAGACACACAAAACATTGTCCACACAGCCCTCGAGGGGCTGGCCGCACACCACGTCTCCTGGAAAGCCACTGCAACCGCTGTCAGATTCTGATGTTTGAAAAGTTAGCCTTAACTTTCACGTTGCTGTGATTTCTTTTTGGTTTTGTTTTTTGAGAAAATATGTGCAGTGGCATGATTATGGCTCACTGAAGCCTCGACCTCCCTGGGCTCAGGTGATCCTCCCACCTGAGCCTCCCAAGTTGCTGGGACTACAGGCGTCTGCCACCACGCCCGGCTAATTTTTGTAAAGACCAGGTTTCGCCATGTTGCCCAGGCTACTATCAAATTCCTGGGGCTCAAGCCATCTTCCTGCCTCAGCCTTCCAAAGTGCTGGGATTACAGGCGTGAGCCACCGCACCTGGCCTGCAGTGAATTCCTGGGCCACCTTGGCTGGCCAGACCTCAGGCAAAAAAAACTGACCCTGAACCAGACAGTACTGCTTTCTAAGATGCCTCACCAGAAACTCGAATCCACGAGGGCTCTACACAGATCACTGCCCCCAGCTCCACTTTAACACGAGTCAAGCAGGAGCCAATCAAAGCTAAGCACTTAGCCATTTGCAATTCCCCTGCTATAGGATGGAGCGAGATACTAAAACAATACCATGATCTGCCAAAAGGTGGCGCTGCAGAACAGTCTGTGTCAAAGGATTCCACTTGCAGGTGACTCGCCCCAGTGAGTTTCACCCATGCCCCTCAATGCAAAAGGCACGGGGCAGGGAGGCTTCAGAGAGGTTCAGAGATGAAGGTAGTGCCTTCTTCAAGGAGGCCCCCAAACCCTCGGAGGACAGCACAGCAGAGAAAGGGCATGGGGTTCACATGTGCTGGGTGACCGGGACACTCAGGCCTGTTTCCCGACCATCTGTAAAATGAGTGCAGTGACCCAGGCCAGTGGTTCCCAAACCTGACAAATGATCAGAATTCCCTAGGGACTTGCGGAGTAAAAGTTCTAGGGTGGGTAGGAGTCTGCATTTTGATTAGGCTTCCTAGGCAGCTCTGCCCTCAGTCAGGGATTCTTTATCTTGGGACAGTCCCTAGAGGGGCCTGGGTGAGGCTAAATCAGGAGGAAGAGGGGACAGGTCCTGGTCCCTGTGGCCCCACAGAAGCCCAGCACCAGGACTCAGGTGGCTTGGGACTGGGCATCCCATTTAGGACAATCCTACCATGGGCCGTGGAGATGGCAGAGACAGGTACTTTATTTTTTTATTTTTATTTACTTTTTTTTTTTGAGACAGAGTCTGTTGCCCAAGCTGGAGTGCAGTGGCGTGATCTCGGCTCACTGCAACCTCCGCCTCCCAGGTTCAAGTGATTCTCCTGCCTCAGCCTCCTGAGTAGCTGGAATTACAGGCACTCGCCACCACACCTGGCTAATTTTTGTATTTTTAGTAGAGATGGGGTTTCACCATGTTGGCCAGGCTGGTCTTGAAATCCTGGGCTCAAGCTATCCACCTGCCTTGGCCTCCCAAAGTGCTGGGATTACAGGCATGAGCCACTGCGCCTGGCCTTGCTTATCTATTTTTTTGAGACGGTGTCTTACTCTGTCGCTAGGCTGAAGTGTCGTGGCATGATCTCGGCTCACTGCAACCTCCGCCTCCCAGGTTCAAGTGATTCTCCTGCCTCAGCCTCCTGAGTAGCTGGAATTACAGGCACTCGCCACCACACCTGGCTAATTTTTGTATTTTTAGTAGAGATGGGGTTTCACCATGTTGGCCAGGCTGGACTCAAACTCCTGACCTCAAGTGATCTGCCCACTTTGGCCTCCCAAAGTGCTGGGAGTACAGGTGTGAGCCACTGTGCCCAGCCCAGAGCCAAGTACTTTATATAAAGTGTCTGGGGAGTAGAGGTCTCAAGGGGGCTGGCTAAGCGGGGCACCTGCAGGGCTGTGACCCCCTCCAGGTACTCTGCTCCCCATCCAGCAAGTTCTCCCAGCTCCTGCCTCTCTCCTGCAGGTCTCCATCTCAGGGGACCCCAATGCCGGGATAAGCCCCACTCCCAGCCCACTGGGGAGGAAGGGCAGCTGGAAGTGAGGTCGGACAGGCTGCCCCCGCCGCCTCCCAAATGAGTTCCTGTCATGATCCAGGCCCTCACCCATGCATTTCCGGTCTCACTGACAAAGCCCATGTTTCCAGTACAACCACATCCTAACAAAACGGAATGGATTCCTCCCTAACTGGCAACCCAGTGAATTTTTCAACAAGCCTGGCATGCAGGAGGCTTCCTCCCTCCTGAGTCAGGGTCTGCCCACAGCACACCTGAAGGGTCCTGGAGGTCCATTTAAGGCCAGGGCTCCCTGGGCTGGACTGGCCCCCTAGACCCTTGGAGAGGCCCAGGGACTCTTGTCCTCCTATATCTGACCCCATCGTGCTTCCTCAGAAACAACAGGTCACAGGGGGCCAGGGAGGTGGCTGGGGCAGGAAGTGATGTGGATTTGGAATTGAGACTGGGGTTGTAATGAAAGTAGCCTGGGCCAGACATGGTGGCTCACCCCTGTAATTACAGCACTTTCGGAGGCCAAAGCGGGAGGATCGCTTGAGCTCAGGAGTTCAAGACTAGCCTGGGAAGCAAAGTGAGACTTGGTCTCTAAATAAAATAAAATATTTTTTTATGATCACATTGTGATATCACATTTTTTATTATCAAATTATGTGTTGTGATGTGCACACCTGTAGTCCAGCTATGTGGGAGGCTGAGGCGGGAGGATGGCTTGAGACCAGAAGCTTGAGGCTGCAGTGAGCCATGACTGCATCCCTCCCTGCACTCCAGACTGGGTGACAGAGCAAGAACCTGTCGAAAAGGAAAGGGAAAAAAAGGACAGGAAAGAAAACAGGAAGGAAGGGAGGGAGGGAGGGAGAGAGGGAGGGAGGGAGGGAGAGAGGGAAGGGGGGAGAGAGAGAGAGGGAGGGAGGGAGGGAGAGAGGGAGGGAGGGAGCAACAGACAGAGGGAGGGAGGCTGCGGTGAGCACTTGGAGTTGGAATTGGGAGAGGTCACAACTGAGGCTGTGGGTCAGGACCAGGCTGCAGCTGAGTGTTGAGACTGGGGCGGAGGCTAATGGAGGCTTACTGGGAGATGGGGTAATGGTGACTTTTTGGAAGAGGTTGCAGGCCCAGAGATCAGGAACTGGTTATCAGGGTCAGGCTGGGGCAGAGGTTAGGAGAAATGAGACGAACGGAGGCAGAAGGCCCCCTCCTTACCTTCCACCCTTTCCAGTGCACAGCTGAGGTCATCACAGGGCCAGCTGTGCCCACAGAGGGGTGCTGTAACCCAACCCACCAGGCCCTGGCAGGCTCTCCACAGGGTGCTGGGGCCTCAGCCTCCCTGGGCCAGCAGCGTGGAGCTCCAACATTCTCCCGGGGCTCGCCCTGGAAGCGTGGAGCCTGCAGTCTCCAGTGTTTGAACTGCAGCCCCTCCCCTTAGGAGCTGTATGACTCCCAGAAATAAGTTCACTCCTCAGAACCCGCCTTTCTCAACCCTAATATGGGCAGCATTGCGCCCTCCCTGGAAAAGAACTGGGAGGAGTAAATGAAGGTACTCAGCACCTAGGAGGCACCCACTAAGGTCAGCTCTCTTCCTCTCAGGGGATCATGGGAAAGGCTAGGCCAGCATCAGAGCCAAGGCTGGGCTGGAACAGGAGGCAGCAAGGATGCCAGGTGAAGCCTCTCCCACACATGGCCGTCCTTCAGACACACCTACCTCCCCCCGCCCTCCTGCCCAGCCCTGAAGAGCCCAGGCTGCCCCCACCGGGGGCTTTCCAGCAGAGGTGGGGTGTGCTCTTGGCTAGCAGGTTTTCTTTTTTGTTGGTTTATGCATTTTTGTTTCTTCAAGCAGCAACTCATCCTTTTTTTTTTAAAGCAGCAATCATACTTTCCTTCCCGAGCCTTGAGAGCCTCACCCAGATTCTCAACCCTTCCTCCCACCCTGAAGGTCACACAGCAAGTCATGGGACTCCCCAAAAGCGAGGGCGGGAAGGAAAGTTGGAGATCTCCCAGGCCAAGTCTCTCCCTCCTCTGCAAGGGGCTGTCCCAAGGTCCCCAGCAAGTCAGGCAAAGCAATGCCCTGCCCTGGGCCGTTCAGGTCCCTGCAGTTCCACACTCACTCACTCACTCACTTCTAGGAGGGCAGGGGTCACTTTTAGGAGCGTGGGGAGAAAGGCAAGGGTAAGGGCGGGGAGCTGGGGGCCCAGACGCTATGCCCACTCAGACAGTCCCCTGAGGGGAGGTCCAGGGATGTGGGTAAACAGGAGGCAGTTGTTTGGAGTTGGTGCAGTCAGAGATGGCTCTCAGGAGGGAAGCAGAGGTTCTGAATTTTGAACTAAATATAAGAGTGCAACTACAGTCATGCATCACTTAGCCATGGGGATGCACTCTGAGAAATGTGCCATTAGGTGATTTTGTTGCTCTGTGAACACCATAGAGTGAACTCAAACCTGAATAGTCTAGTCTATTACATACCTAGGCTATATCAGGTATTCAGCACTTTGGGAGGCCAAGATTGGAGAATTGTTTGGCTCA